ATGGCTCTAGTAAACACTGTTCGTCTTGGTCTGGGTAAGGAGTCTGGGGAAAGAAAGAAATGCAGCAGTTTAATGACAGGCAATCTGAAGCACCAACTCCTGTCTTCTTCAGGGTGGGAGGGTGGGTTAGTGAGAGCAGCCACTCTGCCTGAGTGTTTGTTGTGATACTGGTTTACTGGTCAGCTTTTAGTGTGTCTTTGCCCCTCTATGGAAAGATCTTTCTACAGAGATCTATGGCTGCCTTTGTGTTTCTTACAGAAAACCAGTATCTCCTAGGACCCAGAGCCACATCGAAGAGAGGAGGAACAGTGGTGTCCCGCTGCTCAATTATGAGGACCCAAACTGCATCTATAGAAGTCAGAGGAAGAGAGAAGTAGTTAGGTAGTTAATGTAGTCAATCCAGAGCCTGTCCCATTTATAGCATGGCCCTTATCAGACTGAAGACTTCCATGAAATTCATATTAAAAGCTGAAAAAAAAAAAAAGAGCTGAAGCTCTGTGTATGCTGGTATCTTTACCACACTAATAACTGCGGGCTTACAGCCTTGTTCTCCAATAAGAAAATCTGATGCTGACAAAAGACTAATTAACTTCTTTTCTCATTAGAGTCTTACCATGCCATTTTTCTTCCAGAAAAAAAGCTGCAGGGAAATCATAACAACAGACAAGTGAGGCTCAATTCTTAAGAATGGTGGGTAGAAAGATCAAATAGAAGATACACTGTCATAAACTTTAGCTATAGGAAGACTCATGGAAATGACATTTAAGGAAAGATATAAAAAGCGTAAAAGATTATTTAATTAGCTCTCTGCCAAATTAAGGGCAGTTGAAACTATTTTAGGATAAAGAACTGAAGTACTGTACAGATGTTTCCAGAGATGCCTAAATAAAGTGAGCATCTACTGAGCGTATGCAAAATAATTGGCAGGGAAAGTCAGAAGATTCAGACTGAACATGAAAGAAATTAACATGTTCACCCACTAAAGAAAAGTCCTTGGAATCAAGTCATCTCTTCAGAATTTGATATATTTCACAGAGTATGGGCTCAGAGAATTAAATGAGAATAGCCATGACAGTATTTACTGAAATTGCTTCTCCTTCATGTTGTCCCTCAGTAGAAGCACAAGGATCCTTCTATTGCCTGCAGTCTAAGCCCCTATCCTGCTGAAGAGAGACTCCACTGTGGAACTGTTGAGCCCCCAGTAGGGATTAGGTTCCCCATATGTTTTACAATTCATTAAGTTAGCAAAAACTGAGTGTGTACCACATAGAATAAACTGTTCTAGGTGCTAAAGATACACAAAGTCCCTGCCTTTAGGGATCTTTACCTTCAAATGGGAAGAGGTATATAAATAAATATTTATCAGATGGTTATAAATACTATAGAAAAGATGAGAGCAGAGTTATGGAGAAAGGCAAGATGGCGTTAGGTGGGGATAATTGTTTTGTATAGACTGGTCTCAATAAGGTAGCATGTGAACAGAGACCTGAAAGAAGTAAAGGCAGGACATGACTAAGAGAAGAGCATTCTGGGCAAAAGGAACAACAAGTGCTGAGATCCTAAAGTGGTCAAATATCTGGAGGGTTTGCGGGCAGCAAAGAGGCCAGTGTACTGGGAATGGAATGAGCAAGTAAGGAAATTACAAGAGATCAGGCCAGATAGGTACTAGGGAGCCAGATCATGAGGGCATTACAGGCCATGAGTGAAAAATGACTTTTGCTTTCTGAGTAAGATGAGAAGCCACTAGAGGGCTTTGAGCTGTCGAAGGTATATGATGCAACTTGCATTTGAAAAGGCTAACTGGAAGCAGTATTGAGAACAGACTATAAGGCAGAAGGGCAGATGCAGGAGGAGCTATTAGGAGGCCACTCCCGTAATTTGTGAAATATGATGGTAACTTGGCCAGAGTAATATAATAAACAGTGGGGGTGATGACAGTAGAGGGATTCCTGATATACTCTGAAAGTAAAGGCAATAGGATTTGCTCATGGATTAGATCTGGGGTGAGAGAAAAAGGGAAAGTTCAAGTGTGACTCCAAGGTTTTTAAGACACACTTGCCATATTAGAGACACGGAAGACTGCAGGAAGAGCAGGTTTGGGTGGGGATTGAGGGACTTAGAAATCCTACTGAATGCCCATATAAGTAGAGAAAATGAAAGGCAATTGAACATAAAGCCTGGAGATGAGAGAAAAACTCTAAGCAGTAGGTATAAATTTGGGAATTATTAGTATATTGATGATTATTAAAACCATGCAATGATGGTGGATAAAAATTCAGGAGGGAAATTTCAGGAATGAGGAGTCCCAGCTACACATCAGGGCCTCCAGAGTTCCAGTGCCAGGTACATAAGTCCCCATAACTACTGGCTGCAGAAATCAGTGGGGATTGAGTTGGTGGAAGAAACTTCTGGAGTCCCAAGAAGTTCCTCTTAAAGAATCCACACATGGACTTACTCTGACTCATTCCCTCTGAGCTCCAGCAACAGGGAAGGGAGCAGCTTGAAAGGCACCAGTGGTAGACAGGGAAAAACTGAAGTGTCTGGCATCAAGGTGAGAGCTGGAGGACACCTTTCTCCAAGATAGAAAGTCAGGCAGAGGCCACTGTTCCTTTTCTGAACCCTCTCTCTACAGGGCCACAAAGCCAGCAGGCAGGTGCCATATGTGAGATTCATCAATCTGGCTAACACTGTTTGCCCCACCTTGGAGATTCCCTGAGACTCTGACCCACCTAACTTACAGGCCCACACAAGCTGTTAACAGTGACTTTTCCATATGAATGGCTGGTGTTGGCATTATAATGCTTCACATCTTCCTAAATCCTATCAAACAAGCAATAGCCAGACTCAGTGAGCCCCTAGTCCCTATTCCTCTTACTAAGTGGCCCCAGGCCCAGCACTTGCAGCAGCAAGCTTAGATTCACAGCTTGGCTCCTCCTGGAAACATCCAAGCCCAGCACAAGTAACAGCCATCTCAGATTGCTTTATAGCTCATGAATGGGTGGCTCTGGGTAGAACACAGGTGGTGGCTAACATTGACCTACACCACCTGGTAAACACAAGAGCCTGCACACTCATTGGACAGCTACAGGCCACATCTGAGCACCACTACCCTGCCCCCAGCTGATCCTCCATGGTGGTTATAGGTTGATGGTCAGAGGTGACAGCCAGGCCTTGAAGCTGACTGGCCTGGATAAATCCCTCCCATTGACCTGTCAACAACAACCAAGGCTCTACTCAAGAGGAGGTGTATTCAACCCACATGGAGGGTGCACCTTGAGTACCCAGCTTGGGCAATAGAGGAGGCTTTGCCAGTGGACCCTATAGGACACCTACTACATTAGGCCATGCTAATAAGACAAGGAGTCATAACGGCTTTACCTAATACATAGAAACAAACACAGGGAGGCTGCCAAAATGAGGAGACAAAAAGAAACATGACCTAAATGAAATAGATCAAAACTCCAAAAAAAGAACTAAACAAAATGGACATAAGCAATCTATCAGATGCAGGGTTTAAAACACTCGTTATAAGGATGCTTAAAGAACTTGGTGAGTACCTCAACAGCATAAAAAAGATCCAGTCAGTAAGGAAGGATACACTAAGTGAAATAAAGGACAATTTATAGGGAAACAACAGTGGAGTGGATGAAGCTGAGAATCAAATCAACAATTTGGAATATAAGGAAGCAAAAAACAACCAATCAGAACAATAAGAAGAAAAAATAATCCAAAAAAATTGAGGATAGTGTAAACAGCCTCTGGGACAACTTCAATACAACATTTGTATCAAGGGGTGCCAGAAGAAAAAGAGAAGGAGTAAGAAATTGGATATCTACTTGAACAAATAATGAAGGAAAACGTCCCTAAATTGGTGAAGGAAACATGTAAGTCCAGGAAGCATAGAGAGTCCCAGTGAAGTTGGATCCAAAGAGGACCACACCAAGACACATCATAATTAAAATGCCAAGTGTTGGCCATGGCTGGTATAGCTCAATGGATTGAGCGTGGGCCTGCGAACTAAAGGATTGCAGTCCGATTCCCAGTCAGGGCACATGCCTGGGTTGTAGGCCAGTTCCCAGCAGGGGACGCACAAGAGGCAACCATACATTGATATTTCTCTCCCTTTCTCCTTTCCTTACTCTCTAAAGATAAATTAATAAAATCTTTAAATAAATAAGTAAATAAATAAAATGCTAAGTGTTAAAGATAAAGAGAAAATCTTAAAAGTAGCAAGAGGAAAGCAGTTAGTTACAGGAAAATTCCCATAGGATTTCAGCTGATTTTCCAAAAGAAGCTTGGCAGACTAGAAGGGACTGGCAAGAAATATTCAAAGTGATGAAAAGCAAGGCTTTACAGCCAAGATTGTTCTACCCAGTAAAGATGTCATTTAGAATTGAAGCACAGATAAAGAGCTTCCCAGATAAGAAAAAACTAAAGGAATTCATCATCACCAAACCATTATTGCAGAAATGTTAAAGGAACTTATTTAAGATAAAGACTATCCAAATTATGAACAATAAAATGGCAAAAAAATACATATCTATCAATAATTGAATCTAAAAAAAAACCAAACTAAGCACACAAGAAGAACAGAGGTAGAATCATGGATATGGAGAGGGTTTTGATGTTTGCCACATGGGAGGGACATGTGGGGGAACGGGTGAGAGGTGAGGGAATTAAGAAGTACAAATTGGTAGTTACAGAATAGCCATAGGGATGTAAAGTACAGTATAGGAAATGGAGTAGCAAAGAACTTACTTGCATGACCAATACATATGAACAAAGGTGTGGGTATTGCCTGAGGGAACTGGGAATGCTGGGTGGAGAGGGGCATGGGGGAAAAATTGGGACAACTATAATAGCATAATCAATAAAATATAATTAAAAAATAAAACAAGGCAATGAAATAAGTACAGAAGGAAAAGTGGTTTGATGACTGAACCCTGGGCACTCTAGCATATTGTGGGGGGGGGGGGAGAGACAGTAAAAAAGACTGAGAAGTGCTCATTTTGGCAGTACATATACTAAAACTAGAATGATACGGAGAAGATTAGCATGGCCCCTGAATGAGGATGACATGTAAATTCATAAAGTGTTCCAAATTAAAAAAAAAAAAAAAAGACTGAGGAGGAGGAGCCAATGAAGTAAGAGGACAACCAAGAGAGAGTAGTGTCTTGTAAATAAGATGAAAAAGGTGTTACCAGGAATCAGAGATCAATTGTGACAAATACTGCTTATCAGTCAAGTAAAATTATGACTGAGAATCAACCAGCAGGTTTAGCAATGGTTAATGTTAGTGACCAGTACAAGAGCTATTTTAGTAGTGGGGGGATGGTAGCCTGACTAGAGTTAGTTCGAGAGAGATTAAGAACAGAAGAGATAGAGATGGTAAATATATACCATTTTAAAAATAATTTTTAAAATTCTACCACTATTTCTACTACCTCAGAAAAACAGGTAGGTAGCCAGAGAGGCGTGTGGGGCCACAAGTATTTTTTGTTTTATTTTGGGAGAAGAGATAAAACAATGTGCTTGTATGCTCACAGGAATAATCCACAAAAATCTATAATGCAGGAGAGAGAGAAAGAATTATGGAATGATATCTTGGATAAAAAAGAAGGAATAGGACCATTAAAAACAGTGGAAGAAGCACGGCAGATTGGCACAGACTGAGGCATATGTGGTGATATAATTTTGGAAATTCTGTTCTGATTGCTTCTATATTCTCAGTGAATAAGAAGCTAGATTATCAGTGAGGAAAGAGAGGAATATAAAGTTTTAGTGAAAAGATGGTAGAAAATAGAAATTTAGCAGAGTGAAACAAGGCATAGACTAGGGAAATGCACTGGATGTCTAGTCTACACAGTGCTACATATCCGCTTGAGATTAGTGGTCCTAAACTTAAAATAAGATCAGATATTAAGGTTGTATTTCTCTCTACCATGTTTAGCTATGCAGGTGTGACCACTGAGTAATTAGTTAGACTGAACTACTAACATTAGGAGTGTAACATGAACGTAACGGAGGAAAAGGGGGGACTGAGTACGTATGAGAAGGAATAATTATAATGATGCACCAAGGAATCTACCCTGGACAGGGAGAAAAACAAAGCTGCAAGAGAATCAGAAAGTAACAGAATCAAAATTCCTAGTGGGTCAAAGAATTACCAGAAAGGAAAACTAAAGCAAAAAAGCTAGTAAAGACTGGTGGTGGTAATTAGAGCTGCTTTAAATTGAGATTATGAAGAAAGAGAAAGTTATTGGTAATAACAAGGTTTAGGGTATGATGTTGCGACTGTATAGCTAGTCACGTTGGAAGATGAATCTATTAAAAGAGAGGAAGTCAAAGAAGTAAGAGGCTAGAATACTGGATCATCTATGTGGCTACCGAAATCATCAGGAATTATGATAGAAGTAACGATAGTAGTGTTGTGAGCCAATAGCCAAAAATCTTCAGGGAACAAGGAACTGACCCAGAGGTCTACAAATGACCCAAACCAGAATGTTAACAGGCAGTATATTTTGATGATATACACTTTAAAGCTGGGGGGTTATTTAGAAAGGAGGGAAATACACTAGTGTAGAAATTGCAATGAAGAACAAGCAGCATACCTATTGTTCCATCGGGTCCAATGGTAAAGAGATGTGACAGATAAATCACCCACAACTTGAAAAGACTGCGGAGGAAGCCGCATACTAAAATGAGAACCAGTAACAGTAACCAATATACTATGACAAAGAAGAAGATGCCAGACCAGAGGCGTTTGTTTATGTGCATTTCACTCTCTCTACGCCAGTCCAAAGCCAATAGTAAAAAGATGGCTTCCTGTATTGTGCAGGTTAGGTGAGTGCCAGTAAAGGGTGGTTTAAAGAAGTGGCAAAATTGCAGCCTTTTCACCTCTTATTTGCCTTAAGCACACTGACAATCAATTATGGTGCCAGTGATGAAGACTGAGCAAGAACAGTAATTCAAGTAATTCTATTTTTGAGGTTAAAAGTATCAGATTTATCACCTAAAATAAAGGGGACCACATGTAATATTAATGTCTGATCAAAATCTTTTACCAATAAAGGTTCCCAGTGGGCGAAAAGAGCACTCAGTTGCCAACATCGAATAGCCTGAGCTGGATGAATTAAAACTGATGTAAATGCTGATGCCCAGTGATATCAGTAGGCTACTGGGCTCGAAATGCAGAGTACAATATTACTGTACTGGATTTGTCTTAAAATGAGGCAAACAAGTGTCCTAACAGTAACTTGGGAGCATGACCCCTCCTTGCTATCTGCTGTATAAACATTTGAGAAAAACAGAGAAACATAAGAAAGGCAACTGTCAGGACATTTTTAAAAGCTGTTTTCTACAGGCCTTTTATCCTTCTGCTGAGAAAAGTCTTCTGAGCTAAAAATCAACCCCAACTAGGTCAAGAGCCATTAGTCATAAAGAATTCGAAGGGTATACTCATGCAGAGGGCTCTAGGAATTTATGCTGGGTACTAAAAGGACATTCTAGATGTGGAAAAAGGTAGCATTCCCAATGTCAACGATGAAAGCTTACCCTTATTTAAAATTTTGCATTTTGAGACAAAAAGGACTGGCTTTCTTATTTAGGATGACAATTCTGACAGCCAAAAGTTTGTTCAGCTACCTTGCTCTAGGGCTTTTCCCTCAACCTCTTGGAATTACAGACATAAAGACCCTAAAAAGGTATCTGCTCACCTGGGCTGTGACTGGCATTCTGGGAAAGTGCGTTGGTGATGTTGGGCAGCTCATGCCCATAGTTCCCATCCTCCAGGGGACAGACATCCAAGTTGCTCCACTTCTGCAGTTGCTGCAGCCAAGAGGATTTTTCCTCCAGTTTGCAGTGTGGATTTAAAATGATGCACACCCATAAGGCCCCTGGAAAATAAAACAAACCACATTCGTCATATCTGTTTTTTGATGTATATGTAAGTCTCACTCTTGTTCAGTGTAATATCACATTTTTAGCTGGTAGCAAAAGTTCCAAAAACATTGGCATTTCTCAATATACAATAATAAAAAAAAAACAGATCTGTTAAGTTTTCAGAACTGGCTTATTTTTCCTTCCCAAAGCTTCCTTAAAGTAGAGTGACTGTGATGATATCTGGATGTGTGCCTGTGATAATGAACAAGACATTTGGGCTTGAATTCTTAGATTGAATCTGTAGTCCAACAAACATTTAGTGAGAACTTTCCGTGTTCAAGGCCCTGTATTAGAGAATAAGACACAATTCCTACCCTTGAGTGGCTATCTACTGGGGGATGCAGCTAGCTACATCTAGCTATATAGTTAAATAAACAGATGCCATTTGAATATGGTAAGTGTCAAGATAAAGATATATTCAGGGAACAAGAGCAGCACAGAGGAAGGACATGGAGCACAAGGACAGGAGTCAGAAAGGAGGTACTCAGAGAAGGTTTCAATTTTTGGTTAGTTGACCTTGGACTGCGATTCAAATCCCTCAACCATGAAACAGTTGTAGAGATATTGTAAGAATTAAATGAGATAACATTTGTAAGGGACCTAGCACATTACTTGGCATATAGTAAAAGTTTAGTATTTCCTTTTTCTAGGGAAAATGGTTTATGTGGACTTGGATTTTGATACTGCTGATAAACTGTGATACCTTTCAACTATCACATTCTTGCATCTTCTCCATCACTGTAGCAGAGTACCACGTATTCCACATAACCAGTGGGTACTGTTTCTTTGACTGTATCACTCTTCTTTTTAAGCAAACCCACTTCTTCTTTTCAAGGTTGGATGTATAGCTAAGCCAGATATATTCTCAACCTTAAGTTAGCAGTAAGCCTGGCTGTGGGGTGGCTCAAGTTGGACATCCTTTGGGATGGAGCTACAGCTATGGATGGAGGTACGTTCAGATACTCTTTCAAGGCCCCTCAAAGTCACATAGGGATGTTCTAAAGGCCGTTTTAGCCTCCATTTCATATACTAACTGAAAATAAATATTTATTTCTATTGGCTCAATTAAAAACTTAAAATCTACCAAGGAAAGGGAACTATAGTATGTAATGTAATAGTATTATATAATGATGGCTCTCAAGAGGATTATAGTTAGGAGTCATCCAAAAATTATAATAAAGCTTCATAAATGCTATCATGGACATATATAAAACCATATGAGAATACATATAAAGGGGCAATTATTTTATCGCATGGGGTCAAGGAAAGTTTGGCCTTAAAAAATAAACATGAGTTATTCTGGTTAAAGATGTCTAACAAAACATATTTAACACAACACCATCCTGAAACCTCACTAAAACGAAAGTAAAGGGATAAAAACAGGCACAAACTCACACAGACACAGAGAATGGAAGAGATGAAAAAGAACAGCCACAAATTTTGGAGTCTGCAAATCATGTGGATGAGTAATAGCTGATTTAGCAGAACTGACAAAGCTGAAATTTCTACCAGCTGTTAGGGAAGCCCAGAAGTAGACTGATTCATACTGTGGAACCCCACTGGAAGAAGGGCTGAAAATACGTAGTAGAATTGGCTAGAAGTCTGTCAAAGGTTCCCCAATTTCCTCTTCTATTCAAGGTAGCTGAGTGCCTGTTCCTTCCCTCTCCTGGAAGAATACCAGAGCTTCATTCACTGGAAAGGTTGATTCAGAGGCTCTGGATTAAAAATACTAGAAATCACTGAGAGTGAGGTTTCCACAATGAAAACTAAGGGATTAAGGGAAGCTGTATTTATTGAACAAATGGAGACCCCCCCTTACCCAACCCTCTTTCACCACTTCATTCTGAGAAGATGTGACAGGCTTATAACACAGAGACAAGGTAGTAGAGGACTTATCTTTGGGAAAGTAATCAGCCCAACAGAGAAAAACACTGCAGATTCTGATAGTTGGGGTTCTCCAATGAATAAGCCCAACCAGATCATCCTCAATTAAGCTGACTAGTTGATAAATCCACACACACACAGCCTCATTTTTGCTTTTAAGTGTCTTACTCCTAAATAAGAATGTACAGCTAAAGAATATTGGATATATGAGGAAAGCATCTTACATAAAGGACAGAGAATGAAGCAAATAAGAGGAAGAAAACACTTGGAGGAAACACAAAC